TCCAAAGTTTAGTATAATTTAGGCAGGATCTTTTTCTTTCTGTACTGCCCTCACCATCTGCTTAAGCTTCAGAGAACTCATCAGAAATGTCAGTATTCTAACGGTCCAAGGGACATTCTGAGTCCCTGCTTCCTGCTACTTTAAGCTGAGAAGAGACATGTCATCTCAAGTCGCTTTCCTGACATAAAAGTTTTCTGTCTGGATGTATGTGCTCTCTTGTTGTGCATGCTTGTGCTTCTTGGGGACTTCTTTAATGTGGTAAAACATTTAACTGTCCAATTAAATTGGCTAAGTTGAAGTGACCTGATGTTCTCATTGTCGTTTTGTTAATATTATAGTTGCATCAGTGACTTGCTTCATCCATCCATCCATCTGTTGATCCATCCATCCATTCATCCACCCAGCCAGCCATCTACACAGCCATCCATCCATCCATCCATCCATCCATCCATCCATCCACCCACCCACATAGCCATCCATTCATCCATCCATCCATCCATCCATCCACACAGCCATCCATCCATCCATCCATCCACCCATCCATCCACACAGCCATTCATTCATCCACATAGCCATCCATTCATCCATCTATCCATCCATCCACACAGCCATCCATCCATCCATCCATCCATCCATCCATCCATCCACCCACATAGCCATCCATTCATCCATCTATCCATCCATCCACACAGCCATCCATCCATCCATCCATCCATTCATCCATCCATCCACCCACATAGCCATCCATTCATCCATCTATCCATCCATCCACACATCCATCTATCCATCCATCCACACAGCCATCCATCCATCCATCCACCCACCCATCCATCCACACAGCCATTCATTCATCCACATAGCCAGCCATCCACACAGCCATCCCTCCATCCATCCATCCACACATCCATCCCTCCATCCCTCCATCCATCCATCCATACATCCATCTATCCATCCCTCCATCCACACATCCATCCCTCCATCCATCCATCCATACATCCATCTATCCATCCATCCATCCACACATCCATCCATCTATCCATGTAGCCATTCCTCCGTGCCTTCAGCATTATTAGATAGCTGTTAGGCTCTCAGAATAAAAAGGGAAAAATCTCAGTTTCTACTCTCAAGGAGCTCATTCTCTGGTGGAGAGACAGACAGACTGGACAATTATTACATTCCCATGTGCTAAGCACCAGGTAAGAGGTAAGCATAGGGCACCATGAACTCAGCAGGGTGTAGGTAGGAACCAGGAAAGAATCTTGTGAATGTGATTCTGGAGCTGATTCTTTCAGCACAGTAGGATTTAACCATTTACAAATAGGGAAGGAAGAACTTTCTAGGCAGAGGGAACATGAACAAATGAGTGAGGCTTGAGAGCAAACTGTTCATTAGGCAAGGCTTGAGCAGAGTTGCCCTTAGAGGATTGGTGGGCCCCAAGGTCAAAGAGTAGACAGTGACCTGCTCAAGTTGGGCCTTACACGCTGGACAGATGGGTTTGCATCTCAGGCAGGGCTGGCACAAAAGCACTAAGGGGCTGTATAGGGCAGTGATGTGAGGAGCACTGGGTGTTGGAACATCCCTCTGGCGTTGGTGTGGAGAACTCAGTGGAGGGATATGGTCTTGGATAGAGAGAGACCGGGAAGGAAGCCAATGGCTTTGAGGTCCACAGTGGGATGAAAACAGCAAGAGGGGAGCACTCTCACAATAAGAAAGTTCTGGGTTACCTGGATTTCTTATGAGAATTTTCCTTTTGTTCTCCTAGTTCCTTCCAGACATGGTATGTATATCTCCTTATAACCTCCAAGGACAGAATCTCTCCAGTCACCTTTTGCACTTAGTACACAGAATGGAGGGCTGCCCTTGTTCTCAAGGTACAGCTTGGGCCATCAGAAGCACAGAAAGGGGGCAGACCAGGGCTTCTAGACTTAGGCACTGCTGACATTTGGGCTGGATTATTCTTTGTCATGGGTGCTGTCCTGGGCATTGTAGGATGTCAAGCAGCATCCCTGGCCTCTACCAACCAGATCCACTAGTGTCCCTTGAGTGTGATGACTATAAATGTCTCCAGACATTGCCCAATATCCTCTGGGTGTGCAAAACCTACTCCTGTTTGAGACCCACTGGGCTAGACAATAGTAGAGGAAGTAAGAGAAAAACACATTGGAGCTACTGCACATTGGTTTGGAGCTGCTGCCTCATCAGGACATTGGGATTTGTTTTCTGTCTCCTTCCAAGTCAAGAGTCTCTGTGCCAAGAGCTGGACTTAGTGTTTTACATAATTCACAGCAATTTTGTGAAGTAATATTTTCTTCCTCTCCTATTTTCTTCCTATGTACAAGAGGAAGAATCTGAAGGACAAACAATCCAAGTGCCCCTCAACAGACATGTAAATTGTGGTATATTCATACAATGGAATATTGCAGTGAAAATGATTAGAGAACGGCTGCATGAAACAACACAGGTGAAGCTTACTAACATAACGTACATTAATAAAAACAAACCTCAGAAGACCTCTCCCTCGATATATATCTCTATACATATATATACACACACATATATAGGGTGGACTTACATAATATATATGAAGTTCAACTCTCTTTATATATAAAATTCAAAAAGTTCACACATATATGTATGCATATGCATGAATACACACACCACACACACTCAGATGTGGTGCCAAAAATATGCATACAAATTTTAAGAAAGCAAAAAACTATATTAAAATACTCATGTCACATTTGACTTCTGCTATAATAAGAGAAGCAAGATACAATATTCCAGATAACAAATATTATTGGTATATATATAAAATCTGTGTGTATGAATACATTATATACATTATTGGTATATATATATAAAAATAAACGTCTCTGTGTGTGTGTGTGTGTGTAGCGATAAATGATATTCAGGATAGTCACAGCTAGTAAGTAACACACAAATAACTAAAACCCAGTTCTGTCCAAAGTCTGTTTTTAATGAATCACCGTATTTCTTGATGTGGTTGCAAGATGTCTTTGGTAGATTCACTAGGTGTCTTTAGTGCTTTGAATCACAGCAAAATGGATATTCTCTCTATTGAGAAGTTCCTTTCTATTGTTGTTCTTATGCCTTAAATTTTATTTAAAATTTTTTTCTAAATTTTAGATTAATAGCAGGGTACATACAACAAAGATACATTTAAGGTGAAGTCCAAGTTGTAGTTACTTCCTTCACCCAGGAAGTGTGCCACATACCCATATATTGTATCTGTTGGGAAGAACTTACCCGTTCCCACCTTCTTGAATTTAATTGAATTTTTCTCTCATGTGGGCCTGTAGTTATTATGTTAGTTTAAACTCAGTATTGAGTACATGGGATGCTCCATTTTCCATTCATGTGATACTTTGCTTAGGAGAATGTTTTCCAAATCCCTCCAGATAAACACAAATGATAACAAAGTCTCCATCTTTTTCTATGGCTGAATCGTATTCCATGGTATACATATAGTGCACTTTATTAATCCATTCATGGGTTGATAGGCTTGATAGGTTGATAGGTTGTTTCCACATCTTTGCAGTTGTGAATTGAGCTGCTATACACATTTGAGTGCAAATATCCTTATGGTGAAGGATTTTTTTCTTGAGAAATCCTTTCAAGAGGAAAGGAATGAAGAGCGGAATCATGAAGAGAAAAATAGATGTAAAAAATTAACTGCTTTAGAACTATAAAAGGATCAGGATAGCCCATTGTGAACTCCTCTTGGAAGGAGTTGACTTAATACTAAATCCACTTTTCAGTGATGTCTTTCTTTTCCTTCTAGAAGATGTGTTTTTATACTTAACAGAATTCATATATTGTTGGCTCCATAGACTGAGTTTAATACATCTTGGTGAAATATTTTGCAGTTTTAAAAATTTCCAAATTATAAGATTGTCCTTCGGAGTATTGATAAGGGGAGGTAAGTCCTCACACCAGTTTGATCCAGCTGTTGACAGCAGTCACTGAAGGGGGCAGATGATCCCTACCTGGCATCAGGGTGACCTACTCCTAAGCCTTCAATCACCGTGGGGAAGGCCTCCAACATGAGGAGACCTAACAGATGAGTAAGTTCAGAGGTTTGGGGGTCAGCAGAGCTAGGTTTGCATCTTGTTCCTACCCCTTAATTGCACAGTTTTTGAAACATGATTTAAAGCCTCTGAGTTAGTTATGCCACTTTTTATGATTTCTGCTTTTATTTTGAGTCTCAAGAAAAGCTAATGTGAGGAGATTATAAGCTTCCCAAAAGGTCAACATAGCATTAACTGTGTTTTAAAACTGATGTCTGTTTTTATTTGATTTTTATTTTTAGCTTTGCCACTTCTAACATAGCAATGACAACTACACTTGGTCATGGGGAGTATTTGATGAAAAATGCCGTCAAGGGCTTGGTCTGTAGTGAAAATGCAATGAATAAAAGCCATTACGATTATTATTAGTAGTAATGGTATCAGGAAAGTTAGGTTTAAGGAAAGGCAATTGGAAAGGTTCCAGAAAGAAGTGGAGGCACTTTAGTGTCCATGAGTTCCACTGAATGATTTTTTGGTGCCCATCTCCAACACTCCCCCGTTCCAACTGGGTCAGAGCTTCATTTCTTGGCTGTCTGATGGCCCAGGACCACATTCCTGGAGTGAGAACAGGGCTCTCTGGCGTGATGTGGGCCTCCTGATGAGAGGTTAGTGCCGGGAAAAGCCTGCTTTAGCGAGGCTGGGGTATACCCTATAAAAGAGACAGCTCATCCCAGAGAATCCAAAGTCAGCAATGAAAACTCTCAACTAAAAAGATACATACTTGAGGTTGGGCTCCTGAAGCCTGATAATCAGATGTTTGCATACAAATGAGTAAAAACAATAACAAAGAAAGATGCTATAGGTTGTGCCAACTCCCCTGGTGAAGAACTATAAAAGCCCCTGTGTACTGGATACCTTTCAAACTCAAGTGTACGGAGTGTGCGACCTTCCAGCTGGGTCAGCACCAGCACCATGGTGGACAGCTGTTGTGCTGGAGACACCACTGCCATTCCTGCTGCACCCACTGTCTCCACATGCCCAGGTGGTGGCCGCATCCGATATGCAATCTGTTTGCCCAGTTCCTGCCAGAGCAGGACATGGCAGCTGGCCACAGTCCAGGAAAACTGTCAGGTGTCCAGTGGTGCCTCAAGTGGCTGTGAACCTGCTTCATGCCAAACCACCTGCCTTCCATCTGCCTCTTGTGTGGGTTTTACTTGCCAACCCATGTGCTCCCGCATAGCTTCCTGTCAATCTGGAGCTGGTCAGCCACCCTGCTTAGATGCCACCAGGTGTCAGGTGAAGTGCTGTGATACCAGTCCCTGCCAGCAAAGCTCCTGCCAGGAACCTGTCTGCACCTCTGGATCATGTCGGGCAGCTTGTGACCCATCTGTCTGCTGCGATGCTCTATCCTGTCAGCCATCCTGCTCTGAAGTGACCTCCTGCCCTGAAACATCCTGCCCACCAATCATCTGTACAGCTAGTCCAAGCCAACCTACTAGCTACCAAGGAGGTTCATGTCAACCCATCTGGGGCAAAGGCCAGATCTGTAAACCAGCATATTACCAACCCATCTGCTACGTCCTCGAGACTTGCCAGTCACTTCCCTGCGTGCCTGCTCCCTGCCAGCCTTTGACTTATGTGTTCAGTTCTTGTGATCCTACCTGCTGTGTGCCCTCCTTTTGCCAACCAGCTCCTTCCATATCTTTCGTCTGCCAGCCAGTGGCTACCTGCCAGTCCTCTTGTTCTGCATTGAATTCTTGCAAGTCAACTTCCTGTGGTGCTGTGCTTTCTGGCCAACCAATTTGTGACGACCCCCCTTCCCGTAACCAAAGAGGCTACAAATCTTCTTCCCGTCAATCAGCATGCTGCGTGACAGGTGTAGGCATACCATCCAGTGGTGGCTCTCCTTGCTTCCAACCAACTTCCCCAAATCTCTGCAAGGCAAACACTCGCTTGGTGACTTCCTGCCGACGCAGCTATCAGTCCAGCTTCCGGAAGGGAGCGCTTTGTTGACGGAGCACTCTTCACACCTGCTCTGATGGTTTGCCACTGTCTGCACCTGCACAGCCACCCCATGGGTGCCTGTCTGCCTCTGACCGAGCACAAACAATGCTTGCTTTCTAACTTTACCCCGAGCCTAGCCCCACATCGTCTCCAAGTCAGGACTAGGGAACTTGCCCAGTCACTAAGAAATCCAAGGATTATCTTTCAGCAAGCATGGTCCGCTCTGTACCTTGCATTTCCTGATGTCAATTCATTTTATTTCAGCAAAATCTTCTCATTTTTCTTCCTTTTGATTTTGATGATGCTTGGTCTTTCAGAAGACTCCTGTTGGCTGCCAGATGGTAATAAAAATGTGAATGATTAAGTATAATGAGTAAGACTCTTGAAGTGCTTTCATTCCTAGATACACACCTGCATAGATTTCCTTCAGGTCACCCTTGAACACAATGACCTTGGGCTGTCTACGTGTGTGGGTCTGCATTGGTCTGTTGGTGTCTAGAATTATAGAGGCTCAAGCTGGAAAAAGGAAGGAGGCTCTGAGTGGCTCCACCCAACTACACGTTGTATTTGAATTTCAGCAATCTCAGTCTTGTGGCTATCAGAAATAAGTGATTCTTTTAGGGATGTCATAGAAACTTTAGATAGTAACTTAAGCTGAGGTTTATATGACCTGAGCTTGAGATTTCCTTTCTGTAAGCACTTTAAGGGTATCCAGAAGGATCCACCCCACACCATTGTCCTTATAGCCGTCATCACAGCCATAATGTTCAAGTGACCCTGGGCTCCTGTGCCATTGTTTGATTGCAACCTCATCACAGGTGATCATAAGTGATAGCTTAATGAATTGCCATGTTAGTCCATGTCATGGATTATTCTCATCTCATTTCCCCTAGCCAGGAATCTTAGAACTGTGCTCAGGCCAGGGGCATGAGCACATCAACCCCCAAGTCCCAGCTTTGTAGAAGATCTATTTCCTGGTACCACTCCCAGTCCCAGATCTTTATCAATCAGCGTCTAAGCAGAATGGAGGAAGAAAATATGTATTAATTTGTATAGGGGATGTTTAATATAAAGATTTATTAAATCTTACAGGTGATTGAGATTAAGTGGGATTAGATGGTAAGAGGTAAAGAAAACTCTGAAACATACAGGAATAGCAGAATTAGGATTACACTATGAGATCTGAGATAGGAGAGAATTGCTCATTCTTACCCCCAGCCTGGAATCCAGATTTGGTTGGAGAGGGCTTGGCTGTGGCTCACTGGAGGGTGGAGAGGTTTGCTGAGGCACAGTACTGGTAGACTTGAAGGAAATTTGCTCTCTGAGGTGCTAGGGAAGCCACCCATGGGGAGATGCCATGTGTGGCTGGCTGCAGGATACTGCTGGCCACTTCATGCTGCGGGATCCAGGCACAGAACTAGCCACGAGCTGCAGCAATCAGGTGCCACAGAAGCTTCATGCTCTGGGAGCTTCAGAGGGCAGAAGCCCCGTGAGCTGAACACAGCTGAATCCATGTGTACTACCTGGGGCTGGCAGAACACACCCAAGCCAGGAAGAGAGACTGTTACTCCTCCAGGTTCTTTATGGTCCTTTCTATTGAAAAAATTTAATATTGTGTCTGCTGGCAAAGGAGAAATATTCATAGGGCCCATCTATATTATAACAGCACAAGCAATGAAGGGTGTATCTGCAGGTGAGCAGCAATATTAATATAGTAAATAATATTGAACTGAAGGAAAAGAAAGTATCTTGCAGTATGAATGGAACTTCACAGAAGATAAATGCTTAAATTAATAAGCCTGTGTAAGGATTTTTGAAAGTATAATTTTTCAGAGAAATCCAAATTAAAATAAGAATTACGTATTGCTCTATGGGCATTAGACTGGCCCCAATTAGAAAGCAGTTATCAGAGCTCAGCACATTTATTCTATGAAGCAACATATTTTAGGCTTTGTGGGGCATATGGTCTTTGTTGCAACTATTGAGTTTTGCTGTTGTGTCAGGAAACCATCATAGCTACTATGTCAACAAATTAGTGTGGCTGAGTTCTAATACATATTTATTAAAGCAGGCTATGGGCTGCATTTGGCTCTTGGGCCATACTTTTCTGACTCCTGTGTTATATAATGCCAAGTGTTGGTAGGAGGGTTGAGTTTTGTAGGAATCTTCCTGCATTATTGGTGGGATTGTTAGTTCTTTTGGCCATTTTTAAGAACGACCTGAAACTCTTTATGCAAATTTTATAAATGTATGTCCCATGGTCCAGCAGTCCTTCTTCTGAGTATACATTCCAAGAAAATTCTCACACAGATCCATAGAGAGACGCATATGAGGATATCACTGTGGCATTCTATAGTGCCATGAACTTCAAGGGAAATCCAGTGTCCACTGTCCACTTCTGGGCAAGTGGATAGGCAACGTGTGGTGATTCTCATCACGTAGTATTATGCTGGAATTAGAAATGGAAGATTGTATATACACATAGCTGCACAGACAAATCTTAAAAAAATTTCTGCTTAGTGACAAAGCAGAATGAGATATACTGGGCACTGTTATTTATGTAAAGGACACATGTGCTAAACAACAATGAACACTTTATGAGAACACACGCAAATAAACAGAGTAGAAGAGCTGATGGAAGAGAATGGGGGCATGAGAACAGGAATTGAATTCGTTGATATAAAATACATAAAAATAGGTGAGGGAGGGCCCTTGAAATGACCAAAGATGATCATGTACCATAAAATAAGGAGTATGACTGACTTATTGGCAACTGAGGTCCAGAAAGAAAACTAAAAAAAAAAAAAAGGAAGAGGAGAGAGGGACCTTGACATCATAAAGGTCCATGTATGGAGTGTCTTCCAGAAAGAAGACACTTTCTGTTGAAGAGCCTTCAACTTTCTGTTGAAGAGCCTAATCAAATTCCCTCTCCCACATCTTCCACGGAGAGTTCAGTCATGCTAGAGGGAGAATGAGGTCCTGGGAGGCAGGATACATGTGGCCTCATGACTGCAAGGAATTTTCAACAGTGTTTCTCACGGTATAAGAGGACGCAGGCACTGTTTAAAGGAGTTATAAATCTCTACTTTATTGACTGATGCCAGATTACTCTGCATACCTAGAATTACAAATTTTGTAACAGTATTTTGACCCATCTAAGTCTATGTTCCTTTTTTGTTGTTCAAACTACGGATGTCTAAGTTTTGTAGGCAAATGTTTTTATTGGCCGTCTGCCCACAGCAAACTTCCCTGAACATGTCAAGTGCAAAACGTGGGCAGGAAGCTCTGTATCTTTTCTCATGCTTGGCAACCATTTAAATAACATATCATTAATTTGTTCCTTTTAGGTTTGCTTGAACTTGTCATAAAACATCTGAACCTCCTCTATACAAAATATTCTGCCAAGCCTGAACACGCGTCTTACTAAATCTTTACTTAGACTTATGTTCAGGGCAGGAGAACAATTTTCAAAAGTTTTGAGAAAATACTACAAACACCAATCAGAATGGACATTTTCTTATATCTGCTTCGGATCTTATAATTGAAACAAAACATTATTCATAAAGTTATCCCATTTGTACTTCCCAAGTCCTTTTTCCCGTCTTAAATACAACCTATGTATCATGGTCTTATTGTCACTGTTAATTTATGTAAAATACATAAATAATATATGATATATAGAAAGTATGTAAATGATACCTAGTATTAGAGCCTGAATATTTAAGAATTTACCTGTATAATGTCAAATTATGTAATTTATTTTTAATTTCATTATTGCTTTTAAGAGATATACATTTTGATACTCAAATATCTTTTATTATGTTAGTTATCTATCACTGCATAAAAAAATTACCTAAAACTTAGTGGCTGACAATGACAGACCCTTTTTTATCTCACTGTTTCTGTGGGTTAGAAATGTAGGTGTGGCTTCCGTTAGCTCAGGGTCTCTTGTGAGATGACTGTTGAAGTTTTGGCTGGGGCGGAAGTCACCTCATGACTTGGCTGGGGAAGGATTTACTTCTAAGCTCAATGTAGCCACCGGCAGGCCACTGGTTCTTGCTAGCTGTTAGCCAGTGATGTTATGCCCCTGCTGCATGGGCTTCTCCCTTTCTTACTGATAGTCCTTAGGGAAAGAAGCTGAATTCTCCCAGAGTCAGTGGGCAGTGGGGGAGAAGAGAATATAAATACACAATATGGAAGTCGCAGTCCCTACAGAGCCTAACCTTGGAAATGACATTCTACCACCCCACTGTACTCTATTCATTAGAAGCAGGTCAATGAATTCAGTCCATGCTCAAGGGGAAGGAACTTACAAGGGTCTGAACACCAGGAAGTGGGATCACAAGAAGCCATCTAAGAGGCCTATAGTCTGCCCTTTGGACCCTCAATGATTCACATGTTAAATACACTTACTCCTAAGGTCCCTCCAAATCTCATCCTAAAAAATTCCAGCAAAAGTTCAACATTTAGCATTTCATTAAAATCAGGCATAAGTATAGATGCACCTTCTAAGGTGTAGTTCCTCAAGTACAGCCCCTCAAGTACATTTCTTCTAGATTTGCAGACGAGTGTAACTGAAGAGGCAAGTTGTCTGCCTCCTACACACCCAACATTCGATGGGGGGAGAAGCACAGCATAACTGTTGTAGATAATTCTTTTGAAAAGGTGGAGAACGGGGATGTACAAAGAAGTCACCGATCCAATTCTGAAGTCTAACTGGGCAAACATCGGAGGGTTTTGGACTTAGGTTTTGATGCCTGGGAACAATTCTTCATGGCTCTTGGCTCTTCCTTTTGAGTTCTTGGTTCTGCCCTCTGTGTCATTCTCAAACTCTTATAGAGTTTGCAGCTGAGCAGCAATCTCAGCCTGTTTCTATTGATGGAACTTGGGGGGCTCAAAGGCGTTTTCATTTTGCCTATAAGAAAGATTTTATAAACAAGACATACTGTATCCCTCTGTGCAAGCTAGCAAGGTTTTTGCATATATATTTATATACCATATATATTTAT